AGCAAACTCCATTGAGATTAACAAGAAAATCAAATTCCCATTTCAAATTCATCGAAAACCAATTTCTTTTACTACAAGAAACCTAACCTGAAAACAAGAATTTTTAAGATCACTCGTTAAAGATGTGTTCTACCAAATACCAAACAGTAACTTGATAACAAAGAAATCACAAACCTTGAAACATGAAAGAAAGAAAGAAGAAGAAGAAGAAGCACCATTTGGGATGTCATCAAAAGCAACAGAACAGAAAAGTATCATCAAAGAAAACTGAAAAGAATTCACAGAAGACGACCTTGGGAGCATTAAACGAACTCAAAACCAGGACTAAAGAAAATGACACAGCATCCAAGTGATGAACATTTTTGAATGAAGAAGATGAGACGAACCTGAAGTCAAATTCCCAGCCATTTTGGAAGATTGAATTCGAAAAAGCAAAGCAATGTCCAGACAACCAAGGTGTTTTCGGCTTTCTGGTGCTAAAGAATAAGAAATAAGTGAAAAGAGAATAGGTTGGTTGCCATTCTTGACGGATTCTTCTGTAATAGAAGAGTTGACAGAGTTTAATAAATTGGCATAACGATAAAAATATACATATATAAGACGTTTTATTAAATAGTCATTTTGATTCCGTATTATTATTTTTTTGACATTTTGGCTCTTAATATAAATAGTTAGTCAGTAAACATTCCAAAATATAGATTTTTTGTCTTAAAATAGGGATATTTTTATCTTAAAATGAAATGTCGATGGACGAAATGCTCCCAAAAAAAACAAAAAATAAGGACTAAAGTTACTATTGAATCAAATATTAGGGACATTTTTATTCTAAAATGAAATGTTGGGGCCAAAATACTTTAAAAAATATAAACTAAAATAGCTATTTATACAAACGTTAGAGACATTTTTTTATTATGTCTAACAAATTTGTATGAGATGGATTTAAACCAACAAATAAATTACTTATAATTCACTTAATCTTATTTAAATATAAAGTAAAGTATACAAATGGTCCTCCGACTATAAGATATTGTTTTGTTAAGTTTTTTTTTACATTGAAAAGTTGTAAAATTGTCATTTGATATACAGAGTTGTTTTGTTGAGTGCATATACTATTAAAAGATACAAAATGGTCACACAATTATTCATATATTCTAAGCTCGTCATTTTATGTTAAAAACTTGAAGGTCGTTTGAGCTAGACGTTAACCTTATTTCTGTGATATGATAAAATCGATGCCTACTGCCACTATCGTTGCTTTTAAGAACTGGTTCGACGACATAATATTTCAAGCACTAACTTGATAATATAATACAAATAGAGATTCGATACACAAAATACAACTCAAACAGTTATGAGATCAGATTTTTACCATATCTCAATGAGCAGGTCAACATCCAACTCAGACGAAAGCCATTTTTTTAATGAAAAAGGGGACGAGTTTAGAACATATGAATAGTCGAGTGACTATTTTATAACTTTTAATTATCGGGGAACTCAACAAAGAAATATCTTATAGTCGGGAACTATTTTATAACTTTCAATAGTAAAGGACTTAACAAAGTAGTATCTTGTAATCAAGGGACTATTAACAAAGTAGTATCTTGTAATCAAGAGACTATTTTATACCTTTCTATAATCAAGGGACTTAAAAAACATCACCGTATAATCAGGGAATCATTTGTGTAATTTACTGTTAAATATATTATATCAGATTTATTAACAAGTTATTATAAACTATATTGAAAATGAAATTAAATTCTATAAATAATTAAAAAATAAACTCCATAAACGAGTTATGGAGCATTTTTTTTAAAAAAAAGAAACACTTTATGTTACGTTAATATTATTATTTTATGTTGGAGGAGACTAATTACATAATGATCTAATAACCAATTGGTTTAGTAAGATGAGGTACCAGATATTTTAAGTAAGGTCAATGGTTTAAATCTTGACGATGGTGAATGGAGTAAATTGGGTTGGGAGGGTCGACATTGCCTCTGCAATATCTGATTCAGATTATACGAGAAATTCAATTGTATATGAGATAGTGCTTAAAACATTATTTGCAATATTAATAATATATTTTATATTAATTTTGATATATTTCAAATTCATCCCTAAACTATGATTCTCATTCTAATTGATGTACAAACTTTCTAATGTTTCAATAATGTCTCCCTGAATCATTCAAAAGTTCGAAGATAAAATTAGAAGGGAAAGTTTTGTTTCATATGGGTATCCCCAAATTCATGTGATATTCTGTTTTTGTTTCATGTCATTTTTTACTTATATTTTATATCCAATTTATAGAAATATTTTAGATATTTTATTATTCTAATTTCATTTATTGAATAATTTGATTAAAAATAAAAAGTTTTGCTTAATTAACCCTCTAATATCTGGAGGCTGGAGCATTTTAACAAGAAACCCTAGTTCCATGGATTGAATACATGGGCCTTTGCCTCTTGGATTTGTTTGTATGTTATTTTATTCTTGGATTTGGTAATGGGTTATAAATTAGGGTTGTTCACGGACGGTTATGAGGTTTTTCTAACAATAACCTAACCATTAAGAAAATTCTATATATTAGTAATGCCTTCTAATGGAACATGAAGGATTAGCATTAAGACAAAATATCTAAACAACGATACGAATACGGTATTCTTAAAAAATGTAAAGATTAGCTTAGCTATTTCCTATACTTTACACATATTCAGTATTCTATAATTAGTGGTTATCATTGTATAATATAAAGAAATTAATTGATTTTTTGGGTCATTTTTAATTCTTGAAACCGCGGATGACAATATCTTGTATTATAATTATATCTCGAAAGCCGCACCATTAAAATAATAATTAAACAATTTAATATCAACTTGAATTGATTTAAATAGTAAGCAACTTAATCAGAGACGGATTCAAAAATATTTTTCAGAATGAGGATCATATCTTAATAAAAGAGTAACCGATTAAGGCAAGTAACCGGGGTCCCTCGATATTGCTCTATGAACACCCAATTACGAATAAAATACGGGATCCTGTTAACTTATAAACTGTGGTTTAGGGCCTAAATCTTGTCCCCCCCCCCCCAATAGTTTATATTTTGCAAAGCCCTAGCTTGGGGATCCCCCATTGGGAAAAGTAGGCAATAGCAGACCGTTCGGTCCTTTATTTATTTATTTTTTCTTTTATACTATTGAAGTTTAAAAGGTGGTGCCAAACACGGAGTTTAGGTCCGGATGCATGCACTTCCCCTAACTTGTAGCTTTTGCCATTATATATGTGTATTCTAAGGGCTAGGGTCACAACTTCTACCTCAAGATTTAGGACACGTTCTCAATTAATAACGGATATAAAAATATTTTTGACGAACTATAGAGGTGCTTAATGAGTTGATTAATTCGTGAGTAGTTTAAACTTGATTCGGTCAAAATTTAGTAAAAGCTCAATTTAGTTAATTTGACTCGAAATCTTAACGAGTTGAGTCGAGCAAAGTCTAACTCGACTCGATAAGTTCGTGACCAACTCGTTAATTTTTAAATAGTTATCTTAAAAAAATATTTCATTCAAAAAATTACTAATTTACTAATAGATAATAAAAAATAATAAATTACTAATCCTTTAACTTTTTAATAAATAATTAAAAATACTAAATTATTAATAATTATTATTTTACTACACCAAAAAAACGTTAATTATTATTTTAATGTGTTTATGAATTGTTATTTTAATGCTTAAACTTTGAATTGATTTCATACACTCTTTTGATAATTTTTAGTTAAATTTATTAATTTATGTTCATATTAATTTCTATATAGTATTAGTAGATTTTACTTATAATTAAAAAAATAAAATAAAATAAAAATTCCGATGAGTTTAACAAGCAATGAGCTTAATGCGTTTAACGAGCTACGAGTTGAGCAACCAATTTTTTTAATGACACGAGTCGAGTAAAATTTTAATGAGCTTAATTAGCAATGGATCGAGTCGAGCAACAAAATTTTTTAACGAACAAGAGTCGAGCACTGCCTAACTCGCGATCAACTCACTTAGATATATTAATAATATATGATTTTTAAATGATGTGAACGTAAATAAAATTTTAGAGTTTACTTCATTAATAAAATCACTAATTAATAAAAAAAAATTAAATTTCAAGATAAACACATATCAACCATCGAGAAACTACGGATCCGCCAATGTTATAAACCCTACGTTTCCAGTATCAACCACTAGGACACAAAAACTGCACTAACATGTATTATTCTAAATTTAGTTGTTTCGTGGATGGCGGCAGGTAATAAAAAATAGCTTCAAAGTCATTCCTTTGTCATTTAGCTGTAATAAGTGCAGGAAAAATAATCATTTTGCCACGTGATTTGTGTGTGTAACATAATTATCAAAGGGTTTTCTTCTTTTTTTTTCCTTTGTCATTTTGCCACGTGATTTTTGAGTAGATATATATTTATTTTTATTATCAGTCTTAACTGATAATAAAATAAATATATTTTTTCAGCCATTTTCAATAGTAAAATTTATTTATTATGAACCTAAAATTGTATAATTTAATTCCATCCAAAATGTCAAAAGCATGAATATTATCATTATTGTTATTGAAATTTTTAAACATGCTAGATCAATTAAATCCAAAACAAATTAGAGTAGCACAAACTAAAAGATCCTCAACAAGAATTGGACCCCCTTTTTTTTGTCATGAATATTACAGTAGCATGATTTCATAGGTAGAGGACGGACCCATGATTTTATGTCCAGTGGTGAATTTGAACTTATAAAATTTTATGGGGTGAATTTAAACTTATAAAGTTTCAGGGAGCGAAAACAGATTTTAAATAGAAAATACATAGAAAAAAATCTAAAATATAAAGTAATTTTAAAATTTCAGAGGACGACAGTCTCCACCCGCCCTCAATCTATCCCTGCATATGCATGACATAAACAACATAAAATTCACAAAGATCAATCTTACTCAAATCCTAATGAAAACTCTCCATTAAAGAAGATGACATGGTTTAATGTTAGCTAGGTAGTTTTAGTGAAGGATGGAATTTCTTCATTCAGTTTCTGCTCCAGGTAAGGCACATCGACGACTCTCAGATCACTAACCTGCAACAGCCAAATAAAGAATTTGCACTTGGTAAATTAGCATGCAGAAACCCCTAATTAACCACGTAATCAGTGAACAATCATACCTCAAGGTTTATGGTGTGAATCAGTCCTCCGTCGATCTTGGTAGAGATACTGTGGACAACATCAAGCCCTTCCTCGAGCAGTAGTTGTAGCACCCTGGAGAGGGTCAAAGCTTGAGCAACAACACCGGTGCTGACCACAACTTCAACGCCGTCGTCCAAAGATCGGCGAACCACGACGCTGCTCGGGAAAGCCTCATTAGAACCGGTCGTCCCCCGGCGAAAACCACTCAAATCGACCGATACTTCCTTTAGCTCGTCTCTCCTGGCAATCAGTTCATCGATCCTCTTCTGCAGGTCCTTTATGTAGCTTATTGCTCCGCTCATATGATCTGATATCGCACGCTTCCCCTGAAAGCACCATGAAAAGTAACCCTAGATCATAATTCATAAGTATATGCAACAACAAGAGAGCAGTTCTCTTCGATTATTCAAAACGGGTTACCTTGATGTACTCGAGAGGGAGAAGGGTTCGGAGAGAAGCATAAAGAGTGGACATTTCTTGCCTTCTTTGCCTCTCAATATCCCTATGCATCGACTTCCTCTCATCATCGTCCTTACCATTTTCTCTCCTCTCACTAGCCATTAATCTTCTTTGCCGGCCTCTATTACTACTGCTGCCAGCCATGGCAACAAGATCCAAAGTTTCATCTTGTGGGAGTGTGTTTTGAGGGTCGGAATTGGAGGAAAACTGGAAGAAAATCTCATCCATACTGCTTTTATTAATGAGTGGGGATTGGAGAGAGGATTTTCTGGAAATTATAAGAGTGAAGGCAAAAGCAATGGATACGTTTGTTAGGGTGCGAGATCTTGAGATGGGACCGAACATGTCAAGATTCCCTGTAATGCTCCATCAGGTGTTTGATATATAAGATCACTGATTCGATTCGAATTAAATTTTATACATTCGAGAATATCTTTTTAGAGTTAATTGCATCATGTGTCCCCAATCTATGACCCTCATTTCAAATTAGTCCCTAATTTTTTAAACATTTCAATTTCATGAACTATGACTATTATTCTAAATTAGTCCTCATGATTCTATTTATAATAGAAGTCATTTACATCAATAAGGAGGAATCTACATTAAAATACGACTCAAATTCTAATCCTAATCTAAATACAAGATAAAGACACTAGTGTAGTTTGAGTAGAATTCTTCTTTTCTTGCATCATTGTTGAGATGTGGGTATGCTTTATTCACCGAGTGATATTGTCTTGTGCGATAGAAACTCTAAAGTTTTCAAATTTACCTAAAACTTTTATGCTTGAATTATCCTTCGACTGTCGAAACACCTAAAATGTCAAAACTTGCTAAAACAAACGCTCAGAGATAGATTAGAATACTAAGATAGTTAAGATACATCGTCTCAAACTAGTGATGATGCGACACTCTGAAAATCGATCTTAAATTTTACCAATGATTTAATGTATAACGATCCAAAAATCTTAAGTTAACGTTCAGAAGTTAACACGAGGTGGTTTTGGGTCAGACCTATATATTAACATCTACTTGTAAGAATCCTAAATTCCTCGAAGTAATTCAAAAGGGGTTTTAGTGGGGGTTAAACCTTATCTTCTTATGGAGAGTTTCTAAATTCACCCCTTAGTCATTGGGAATTAAAAGATAACGTTTTGTAGGTTGTTTATGTAACATCCTCAATACCGGGTTAGTGATCAAATTGTAAAGTTTCATAATTTGATGACTAAATAGAAGAATGAAATAGCTCTATGATTATTAGATGCATATGATGAAGGTTATTTTGTAATTGTTAAAGGAAATAAAGGGTAAAATGGTCATTTGATCATTTAAGGAATTATATACACGTGGGAAGAGAGCTATCTGGAAGCTTTCTTCTTCTTGCCTTCTCTTCTTCACGTGGGGCTAGCTTCAAAAGGTAAGTTCTTTGTTTGTAAATGAATTGTTGATTTTAAGGTTGGGTTTTGATTATTAGATGATAACTAAGCTTAAGGAAAGCTTAAATCATCTTAAAAACAAATGATGGAGAGGTTAAGAGAGATTAAAGATTTGGAGTTTTTATATGAAATTTTGGAAAGGAATTGATAAGTAGATTTTGAAGTTAAATTTGACTTGTCAATGGTTAAATTAAGAGATTTGGAGTGTTAGAATTGGAATTAGAACACATTGAAAATTTGGTATGATTTTTGAATCTCATATGGAAGATAGGATTTTGAGGTTTAAGATGAAATAAATGAATATAGATTGGTTTAAGTATGTATACTAGAGTTAAGAATGAAAAGGGGATGATATATGAAGGGTTTGAGTGGAAATGAAGTAATTTTCGGGTTGAAAATATGATTTCTGGGCAAGGGGAATCGGTACCCATTCAAGGGGAACCGATACCCCTTCAAACGACAGAATTCCAGAATGTCTTGAGGGAATCGATACCCCCATGGTAGGGAACCGATTCCCCCTAAAGAAAATGTTAATATTGGTTTAATAAGTTCGTTTAAGTTGCTAGTATTCAATTACAAGGTGTAGGTATCTAATGATTACCTCGAAATGTACATTTATGTAGATTCTACGCATAAAGAATTCCGGAACGTTTGGCAAGTAAGATCGATCAAGGGGAAAGATAAGAGATTGGAATTGACTAGTGAGGCCAGGTGAGTGCATATTAATTAGTTTATGGTGCTAAATGGAAACAAGACTTGCGACAAGTCTATTTCCTCTGTTAGAATGCATGAATATATGATTATACGTATATGAATGACATGAATTGTATGTATGCATGATTATATGTGTTAACATGCTTTTGAATGTAATGTTATGAGAAGTATGTGCTATGTAATGTATATATATGAACATATGTGAAACTGAACTATGTGACTGCATGATAAAGATATGAGCCATATGACATGATATATGTGAACATGAGAAAACAAAGTATAAGATATGAACTATGTGATCCTATGAGAATATGAAAAGAATCTATGTGATTGCATGCAACATATGATATTAGATCAATGATTACACGTACATGTGATACGTGACTGAAAAGAAAAGATATGTGGTTATAAGAGAAAGAATATGAATAAGTAATGTGAACTGTTATAAATGATAATGCCCATGTTATGTGATATGAGAGCTAGGGTATAGTTGGCATGCCAAGGGTCGAGGGTTACCTATGTTCTTCGGAACATATGGACTGTTTACCTATGTTCTTCGGAACATATGGACTGTTTACCTATGTTCTTCGGAACATATGGACTGTTTACCTATGTTCTTCGGAACATATGGACTGTTTACCTATGTCCTTCGGGACATATGGACTGATTACCTAGGTTCTTCGGAATCTATGGACTGGTCCTTCGGGACATTGATCGAGCTGTGGTGACAGCATATGTGTGCACAACCTCAATGTACTCACATACCTTAAGTTCTCACTAGTGTACATGGGCTAATAAAGTGATTAAACAAGCATACTGAATGTGATATGTATACGATGGGGTTATAAGTGGTTTGAAATGTGTTACGTGAACCATATGATGTTGTGTGTGTATAGTGTTTAATTGAAAAGGTTAACAATAAAGTATGTGATTACATGATAAACTGTTAATGATGAATTATGTGTCTGTATGTATTTACTGTAATTAATCTGATATGATTTTATATGATACGAAGAATGCATGGAATTGGTATAACATGATAGAACATAACATGCATGTATTGATATATGTTATGAAGTGCATTGTAAGTCGTTATGCCTCACTAAGTCTTCGACTTAGCGTGTGATTGTTTCACACGTAGGTTTCGAGAAGAGGAAAGAGTAATGCGGAGCAAGACAGGTCAGTTTTCCTTACCAAATGTCAGATCAGAAAATGTATGTATTGTTTACAGAGTGTAGTTGGCATGTAGTCTAAAGATATAAATGGTATGAACTCTGATATCTGTTGTAAACGTTTTGAAATAATTTAAATGTTATCAAAGTTTTTAAATTACCCACTATTTTATACGAATGAATGTTTAAAAAGTCAATGTGACACTTCGGACTCGTATCCGGGTCGGATACGGGTTGGGGGTGTTACATTTAATGGTATCAGAGCTAAGGTTTAGCCGATTCTCGGCATAAACCGAAGTCCAAAGTGTCATAAAAGGTGTACATGCCAACATAGATTGAAAAATTTCTGATCTGATTGTGTAAGGAGTATGTTGTCTTGCTAATAGAATAAGAATAGTTTAATACAGTAGAAATCCGATCGTAATAATTTCAAAGTAAGTGAAAGGTGATATTCCTGATTGTGATAGCTATTCACTTGCCCTGGCCAGGCAGGATGAAGAGCGTACACCTCAGGAAATGCCTAGTAAGATCAAAAGTTGATTTCAGAAAGCTGAAATCATATCTGAATAATGATAGAAAGTTTTCATCGTTTGAAATCGGAAAAACGATATAGAGTTATTATGTGGATAAGATAGAATATGGTGAACGGGTGTCACCATAAGAATGTTAAAAAGATCTAAGGACGTGATGAGTACGTATAGAAGAACTTAAGGATAAGTGCATTAGTGACAAGTGTATAAGATGTATAAGTCAGAGCTTATAAGTTCAAAATGAAGGAATAACATTGTGTATAAGCAAGAGCGTTTATATGATAAGGGTTTGCAGTTAAGACGGAAAAGTTAGCGTTAGCTAACGAGAATATGCGATGGGAATGTACTGGAATTATAAGATTATAAGATATTGTCAGGATATGAGAACCAAATCCGTAATGGATCTGGATACAGTTGCATATTTGGATCATAGTAATGTGGTATAGTAAAGGAAAAGAAAGTAAGAATTTGTATATTTAAGTAAAGCTGAGGATTGATAAGAAGAGTTTGAGAATATGTATATCGATGATCAGATTATAGGACACAGGAAGTCAGAATGTTGAGTTTGAGTAAAAGAAATTTCAGGATGTATGAGAATAGAGGTGAAATTGATAAGTTGAGTAAGCGAATATTAAGATAATTTAGATTGGAAAGAATGTATATGATTGGTATAAGAGGGCTTGTGCCCTAGACTGAACCAAAGTTATTATCTAGCTGTCAGAGTAAAGGTACTAGAGTTATAAGATTGGAGGAAAGATATAGTGGAGTTAATTGATTATGATATGAATTTGAATATAATTGTATATTCTGAGCAGATAGCTATGATGTAGAAACAGAGATAAGTATTTGCATGGAACCTTCAGGAAGGAAAATACAAGTATAAGAAATGAAAGGGATTGATTTAAAAGAATCAGATACGATAATATGGAAGTACAGAGGACAGTTTTGATATAGAGTGATGAGATGAATGTTATTGTCAACGTGATGAGTGACATTATATGGAATTTTAGAAAGATCAAAGGAAAATGCATAATCGAATGAGAGAAAAGACAACAATGGATTGGTATTACTGGTTATTGCTTATATGATAAACAACAGAAGATGAAGGTATAAACGAAAAAGATAGTCGAAAACTAAGGGATTGAAAAGTAAGTTTCTGATGATGACAAGAAAGAATAAGTCAGGGAAGCAACATAAGAACATTAGAAGATATGTTCCTATTAAGATGTGCAGTGAAAATTCGAGGACGAATTTTCTTATAAGGAGGGGAGATTTGTAACATCCTCAATACCGGGTTAGTGATCAAATTGTAAAGTTTCATAATTTGATGACTAAATAGAAGAATGAAATAGCTCTATGATTATTAGATGCATATGATGAAGGTTATTTTGTAATTGTTAAAGGAAATAAAGGGTAAAATGGTCATTTGATCATTTAAGGAATTATATACACGTGGGAAGAGAGCTATCTGGAAGCTTCTTCTTCTTGCCTTCTCTTCTTCACGTGGGGCTAGCTTCAAAAGGTAAGTTC